AATTCAAAATCAATGTTAATCAGCAATTAGCGTCGCTGTTGCCGCGTTTTCATGACAATTCAAAACAATTGCCGGCACTCAGAGAGTCGACCCATGAATACCCTGCACCAAAGCCCAGCCAAGCAGTTCAAATGCAGCACAGTTCACACAGCAAGCACAAGCACATGCATGCTTATATTGTCGTACACTGCTGCTCAGCTGTATGCATACACACATATACATGCATACATACATGTCTACCCGTTAGCTGACGAGAATAGCCTTGAGCTTGCCCCTGTGCGTATAGGGTATTGCAAGCAACAAGTCTATCGCGGCGCGTAGAAACATTGTTGAACAACAGTTAGTGAGAGCGCGCGCGGCCGTGTTGCCGTGCTGCACGCTGTTATCGTACGCGTTATCGCTGGAATTATCGATAACAGCGCTGGCAGTTAATTTCAAATTGAATGTTAGATAAATAGCTCAACTATTGAGCCAGTGTGAGCTTTGAAACATCTTTAAATTGTCTATAGAGCGACAATCGCAATTCAGCATGCGTCTTTTTTATACCCTCTTTCAAATAGGCAGCATTTGTGCCGCGGTAAACGAGCGTCAAGCACGTGCAAATGCATTTTTGTACGCCTTATTAAATGTAACCGTTAAATGAAACGGAAAATTTAATCAAAGTGTACAAAACTAATTAAACGTTTTCTCTATTACCAATTTAACGAGCAGCTGCCAAAGGGGTTATGCAAAACGTCGCCTTAGTTAATTCCAATACTCTGTCAGCTGGGATATGTTCCAGATAACTTAAATAGTATCAGTATATACCATATATATAGTGTATATCATGGCCAGGCAGTCTGCATTTGTCTGCAAACATTTTTAAAAGGTTTTATAATGACGATGTCAAGAAATGTGTCAAAATGCGGGAAATGGAAGGATCGCTCGAACAAAAACCTTTTACAAAATTGTGTTTGTTTTTTTTTAGAAGAAATTATAATTAATCTCTAGTTAATTAAGCTTTCATCGAAACAACAGATCCGAAATGAAAGCTTAATAATTTAAAATTAAAAGGCAAGCTTTTGCTTTTTGAAAATTATAAATTAGGCTTGTGTTTCTTTACAATCTTTATTTAGAGTTATGCTTAGTGGTATAAACAGAGTTTGTTTTTTCACGCTAGTAGAGTTAAACACACATATATATATATATATTACGGACATTTAAGCAATGTGCAACCTCAGACATCATCAATGCATGATTGTTAAATCATTTTGTCGATTGTTGCTTACGTTTAGAGAAATTTCAATGTTTTCTTAATTTTGTTAATATTTTTGTTGGCTTTTGTTTTGTTTCTGACTTAGACAACTAATTTAAGTGGTAAAGTAAACATAGAACGCTACCGGGGCTCGGGTTATATTTAATTTAAAATGTTTTTACTGTGGCGGCGGCTGCGGCTGCTGCTGCTGCAGGTGTGGCAATTGCATGACACGCGCTAGGATGTGCGCCTGCTGTTCCAGGCATTTGGGGAAGAACGTTTGCAGCAGCTCGAGCTTGCGCTCCTCCAGTTCCAGGCGCTGTCGCGAGATTTTCGTTTGCTCCGCCAACAGCTGGTTCTTGCGACGCACCTCCTCCATATACATTGATTCCAATGAATCGGCCGGCGGCGGATTGCTCGACCCAAAGGGTCGCCCCCGCTTTCTGGGCGTGGGTATCGGTGCCGCAATTGCCATCGCATTGCTGCTACTGCTGCTGGCGGCTGCCATTGCCGGCGGCTGCATCGGCCCGCCATTGCTGCTGCTGTTGCTATTGGTGGCCACGCTGATGGTGTTGTTGCTGCTATTTATGTAGGCCACCGCCGTGATGGCCTGATGATTGATGGCTGACGTCGAGGCCACATTGTTGCAGTTGCTGCTGCCGCTGCCATTGCCGCTGTTGTTGTAGTGTGCCGGATTGCTGCCAGCGTAGCTGACCACGCTCTGCTCATAGCCAGACTGAAATTGTTGTTGTTGTTGTTGCTGCTGCTGTTGTTGTTGCTGCTGCTGCTGCTGTGGTGTTTGCAGCTCCAGCAGCTGTGCGGGCTCCGCTGGTGAATACTGTTGCATCTGCTCTTGAAATGGCATCGAGCGATAGTCCTCATCATCGTACTCCTGCTTGATATCATCGTACTGATCCGTAAACAGTTCCGTATTGAAGCTCATGTTGTTGCTGTTGCTGCTGTTGTTGTTGTTGTTATTATTATTATTGTTTGTGTTGCCCTGGGCATGGCTGTTGCTATTGTTGCTGTTGTTGCTATTGTTGCTATAATAACTATTGCCCGCTGCCTCGGCAGTCAAATTAAGCACCGACTGTTGCTGCGACTGCGGCGGATGTGCCTGCGCCGGCGGCGGCTGCTGCTGCTGCTCCTCTTCGCGCGGCGGCGACACATCGCGATTGTTGAGCAGCACCTCTGGCGGCAGCGGTTCCGCGTTTTTGGGCCTGTGTATGTTCTTCAGTATGCGATTGATTATGTCATATTTTTTCCAACGCAAGGGATAGCTGGATGGATCACTTTGCAGCTGTTTCTTAACTTGTCTGCAATTCAAACGAGCGTACATTATAAACTATTATAAGAGACGGCGCTCATGCACTTACCGAAACTTGGCCCTTGTCTGGTTGACCTTCATTTGTATTTCCTCGGGCTTCACATCCACCGAGAAGCGTTCGCGCAGCTCCTCCGACCATTGGCCAAAGTAAACGGTGTTCTTGCCGTTGCGTGTGAGACGCCAATTTTCGCGGCCCCAAATCTCATAGAGGCGCTCCTCCTCGCTGGGTGTCCAATAGCGACGCGCCTTCTCCTTGGACTTCACCTCCAACAGCTCCTGGCTGCCGCACATATTGCCCTCTGCCTCGGCGTCTGCCTTTGTATTTGTGCTCGCAATCACGTTCGCATTTAATGCTGCGCCGGCCGCAGCGCTCCCTCCACCAAGATTCAGTGCCAAATTTTCGTAGTCCATGCGAACGCCAGGGCCCGGTTTTGGAGTTGTATCGAAGCAGAAGTCACTTATTAGTCCACTGCATTACCTAAGCGCATTTATACAATGCAGTGCCACATTAATTCAACACAAGCTTCAATTTTTTCGCATTAAAAATCAACAACTAGGGATGGCTGCGAATATCGATTAGTACACAAAAGCCGATGATTTCATTTCGATTATTTTCGCGTATCAAGTGCGGCAAAGTTCGGCATTAAGTGTGAACATATGGCTACAAAAGTGAACGAAAGACAGCCAAATAGTAAAGTATATGGCCCAACATATGCAACAATTAAGTTGGCATTGTTATATACACTTTAAGTATAATACACTTATCAAAAAACATCGATATTTTTCAATCGTTATACACTTGGCACATCCATAACAATGCTTATACACATAACAGTGTGACCCTGCACAACGACACTAAAATGACCAAAAAAAATACATACTGCACTGTTAAAGCCTTGCGCTGTAACCGGTATTTAACATACTCGTACGTGTCACATCTCTAGTGCTTCCCCAATGCCCATCTCTATTAGGCATTTGGGCCATTCTCATTTAATGTAACTTTAAAGTATTGCGGCACCCTTTAAATTACTTGACTGGGACACAATATGAGTGATCCGGAAAATGAGTCAAAGTCCAACAGACGCGGGCCAAAACATATGCGTCTGCGCTACTATACATCCTACGAGGAGGCAACAATTGTGAAATTGTGGCGCGAGCATCTGCACGAAATAACATCTTACACCGAGAATTTGACCATATTTCGTGAAATAGCCTTCGGCCTGCAACAGCATCGCATCCGGCTCAACAAGCAGGAGGTGCGACGTCGCATCTGCAATTACCGCAACAAGTATTTGTAAGTTGTGCCAAATTTCACATATCACATTGATTCACCTAATTGCCGCACGCCTCTGCACAGAGTCGAACGCAATCGCATGGAAACCGATCCGCAGTATAAAACCGAGTGGCGTCTCTATGCGCTCGTCGACTGCCTCTTTCAGCCAGAGACAGCTGCGCCCAAGAGCACGCCCATTGTGCAAACGGAACGCAAGCGTATCGAGGAGATCGAGTCGACCATACGCAGCGAGCTGCCCAGCCTGCCACGTTTTAATCGCCACGACTGTAGAACCATGAAATTTGAACAGGACCCGAACGCTTGCCCCTTCTTTGAGGGACAACAAGCTGTGACGGCGGCACAGATTAAGACAGAGCTGCCGCAGCACGTTCTGCCCAACGTTAAGACTGAAGTCAAGCCCGAATTCGATGTGGAGCCAACCATGGCATTGCCCGCGGAGAAACGCTCGCCGCTGGCGCCCGCCAATCGCACACTGGAACCACTATTGTTGCCACCACTGTCGCCGGCAGCAGAGTTTGCCGCCGCGCCGCCGGGCGCCGGACGTCGCTCGCGTCGCCGCACCATTATGCCGCGCACGGGCCAGATAACGCTGGCCCTAATCGAGCGCCTGCGCAAGGAGAACGAGCTGCTGGCCGAGCAGCGGGATGCGAATCTGGCGGATCTGGCGATGAAGGAGCGCGAATATCAGCAGCTGGAGCAGACCTTTGACTTCTGGCTGCATCAGCAGGAAACGTGGATGGCCTACCTCGATGAGCGTGGCATCAAGTAGGCGGCATGAGCAAGCGTTTTCTAGTTAGGTTAAAGATGAATTGAAGGTTAAGCTTTAATTTCGAGCAGCTGCCAATCTATTGAATGATCTCCGGCGCTGGCTTTTGGTTTCTCTTTTGCGTTCCTCTATTGTTAATGATAGGTATAAAGGTGCTAAGGAAAGCAGCGCAAAATATTTTTTATATTATTTAATAAAGCCAAATACTGTAATCCTGAAGGCTTATACATTATTCAATTGAATATTTGTTGCATATTGCTTGCAAAAAATTGCGCTTAGCTCTGATATAATCGATAAATGTTTGTACTGGACTGTTTGGTATTTTATCAGTATTTTGGAAAGTGATATTTTTTGCAATACCGCACACAGTCACACTGTATGGCATTTTCATCATATTGCCTACTATTAAGAACTTTAATTAATTAAAATGAGTGCTACTTTAATAACAAATACAATGCGTCTGCTGCGCATAAGCAGCAGCATTAAATGGCACATGCCCACCATTGCTGCAGTGCGTCAATATGGTAAGCAAGCAGCAACGGCTACAGCAAATGGAAGATTTCATAACAGCCGGCAGCAACGGTATCGATACTTTTGTTTTAGCCACACCGCCCAAACGTTTCTACAAAACAACAAATGTGCTCTGCACAGACGCTGGCTATGAGGTGACACTGGATCATCGCAAGCTGAAGACGCCGAATGGCGCACCGTTTACGGTTAAAAGTGAGCCATTGGCCATTGCCGTGGCCACCGAGTTCGACGGCCAGAAGGACCACATTGAGCGCTCGCGTATGCACATCTCCGCGCTCTGCTTTACGGCCATAGACAATCCCAATAAGCTGACAAAGCTCGACATGGTCAACTATCTGCTGAACTTTGTGGCCACCGATACGGTGCTCTTCCAATACGATGTGAGTGATGAATCTACCAATTGGCACGCTTTCGATATATCACAGTTTCATATGGGCATTCAAATTGTTTGTAGGATGAAAAGGATCTGCAGGAGCTGCAGCGCAATGAGTGGGATCCGCTGATTGCCTGGTTTAATCAGCGCTTCGAGACCAATCTGCAAAAGACCATGAACATAACTCCACCCCAGGTCAGCGAAGGGGATAAAATGAAAATTGCCAAACATTTGCAATCGTACAGCTTGGAAACGTTGCACGGTTAGAAGGACAAGACATATTTGTATACTTAAACAACTATAAACAAACGCTTTTCAGGTTTCGTTTTTGCCGTGGACACGCTGAAGTCCATTGTGCTCGCCTGCGCTGTGATAGATCAACAAATAACAGTGGAGCGTGCGGTGGCTCTGTCCCGTCTGGAGGAGGAGTATCAGCTCAAGTTCTGGGGCAGGGTTGAGTGGGCGCACGATTTCAGCCAGCAGGAGCTGCAGGCGCGCCTTGCTGCCGCTGTGCTCTTTGTTCATTTCAATTGTTCCGAAAACTTGATCAAAGAAAAGTCTATATTATAAGCTAATTGCGTGATATTTCAAAAGAAGTTTCCATTTTTTAGACAATTGTTTAAAGTAAGAAAACTATTGATTTGATTTATCGCATCATTTCAATTGTGGCGAAAACTGTGCCTTATATTTAAAAACGGATTTGTTTTTTGTTAACAAGTGAGAATAATTTTTAAAAAATATCGCTTAGCTGCAGCTGCGATATATCGCATACAAATGTTTTATTAACTATCTGGCAACACACGCACATGCCACCAACTGCCTTCGCACTCTCTCGCTCACACACATTTGGCGCGAATTTCAATTCGATTCAAATACCTAACTGCACACGTTATTTTGGTACGCTGCCAAAATGTAAACAATGCGCATACATAGCGCACGTTACCATTGACGAAAAATAAGCAGCAGCCCGTGTGCTTATGCTGATTAGGAGACTGCTCTCGTGCATGCCCCCCCCCCCCCCCCCTCACTTTACGCTTCACGATCAACCCTGACTGTTCGTACGAACGTCTATATATGTATGTGTGTGTGTGTGTGTGTATGCACACGACTCTGCTTTCTCAATGCATAGTTGTACAGTTAATTTTGTTGGATTTGTTATCTGTGCACTTATCTGCTGTTTGCTTTGATTTTTATCGCTGTTCTGATCTGTCGCCCGTCTTCGCAGCTTCTCGACATGGTTGATCCATACGAAAAGCACACAAAACAGTTGATTGTCAGCGCTTCTATTGTGAAGTTGCAGTTAGAGTTAAAGTGTGTTAATTGTTTTTCTTAGTTTCTAGTGTATTCTGTGCATTTTGTTCATTTTGTTATTCTCCAATAATGTCGAGAAGTGAAGACACGCCGATTGTGACGTAAGTTGGCAGCGCGTGTAAGGGGTGGAGAGGGGGGGGGGGGGGGGGGACATGCAGAAAGTTTGCAGTCGAAAGAATTTGCACAAAAAAATAAGTTGAAAATCTTAGACAAATTACCATAAAGAGCAGCAAAGTCGCCAAATGAGCTGCTGATTTGTTAAATAGGCGTAAAAGCGCCAGACCGTGGGATCCTCGACAACTGTCAGAGGTGTGAAAAGGCCTCGAAACTTGGCTAATAGAAGCAGGCTACGAGTGAAGTGGCTGAAGAAAAGACTCTAAAGAAAATACTCAGTTCCTTTTTTTTTTTTGTATTCACTCGCCTCTTCTTCTTCTTTTTTTGCTGCAATTGCGTTGCAAACTTGCAGAGCAAGTAGTTTAGCGCCATTTGCACTTTTCGTAGTAAAAATTACGCGCACACCCCCCCCCCCCCCCCCCCCCCCCCCCCCCCATACCCTACCCCACACTCAAGCGACCATCCACACACATACAGCAAACTTATCAACGGGCACATCACACAGCCACTCACAGGCACACACACACACACATGTGTGTGTGTTTGTGTGCAGCCACGCTGTTGTCGTGCCGTTGATGAAGGGGCGCTATAAGCGAGGGCGTGGCATTAAGTAGTCGCCGTAGTTTGGGTTAAGTAACAAAACTTCAAATTGAATTTTTCGTTGCAGTTTTCATTTTAGCACCTATCAAGAAAAAGAAACCCTTTTCATGCGCTTCGTTCGCCTCGGCGTATTTTCCTACTTTACTTTTTATTCCCGCTGCTCATTACGCGCATTGGTGAAAGGACGCAGCGGTGGGCCGATGGGTCGTTGGGCGGGGTGCGGCGTAGCGTGCGCTTACATTGTGTCGGGCGATTTAATACTCTATTGTGTTGTTTTTTATTTTGGTTTAGGCAAAAGTTTTGCTGTGCTAAAATAAATACCAAAAACAATTAAAAGCGTCGATATCGATATATTGAGTATCGATATATCGAGTATCGATATGCTCGCTACCATCACACATTAATGCATATGTATGTGTGCGTGTTTTATATAGCTATCTCGTTCTTTTGCATTTGCAGGCGCAGCAACAATTACGGTACGACGCCAACGCTGCAGTCTGTGGAGCGCGGCGGCAACGACGGCGGCGGCGTTCCTGGCAATGGCAACAACAACAATGCACCTGCAACACCTTCGCAGATTTTCTGTTTGCATGGCCGCTCCAACAACGTGGAAGTTGAAGGTAAGCTTGTCTGCGGGGGGGTTGTTGAATGTGGCGAGGGGGGTTGGCTTGGGCGGGGGGGTGGTGGGTTGTGTTGATAAACTTTGGCACTTTTCGTGTCGCTTTCAATCAGCGCAAAGCAATTTGCAGTCATTCATAAATTATCAAGAAAGCGCAGCAGCAACATTTTGCGTTTTGCAGCAAAAGTCAATGCAAAATAAAACAAACATCGAAGACAGAGTGAGAGAGTGAGAAAGAGAGAGCAAGAGAGAGAGAGAGAAAACAGGAAAATTAGTTTTCACAGAATTTTTCGTCAGGTTTATATGTTGATTGTGTTCAGTTGAGTTTGAAAATCGAAAATTTTAGCGCAATTTGTGTGCTATTACCCGGTAATGTGCGCTAATTGGCAGACGACACGGAAATGGAACTGAACAACGCCCGTGTTTATCGACAGACGACGATGACGAAAACGACGACGACGACAATGTCTAAAATGACAATGTTGAAGTCACCCTGTCTGGAGAACGTCCGTCTAACTGGTTACGGTGAGCAAATATTCTTAACACCCGCCCAATCAACCACCCAACCCCCAACCCCAACCCCAATCCCCAACCCCAATCCCACCAAGCCAAGCACAACCCAACGTCCTGTCATCAATCAGTTGATGATTTTCCAAAGCTTGCTAACTTGGTCGCAATTTTGTGGCGAAAGCAGCACAGCTGCCTCGCCTGGACATAATCAAAATTTATGCTCGGATCGCCGCTTGACTATTGCCATATGCCATAAATTGCCAGAACTGGCACATAATTTACGTATGACAACGCAGCCAAATAAATGACTGGCTCATTTTTATACCCTGCATCCATTTAAAAATGTCTAAAATGTGAGCTACAACATCTATGTGCATATGTATGTAACATATATACATATCTCCCGAGCATGTTCTACCCTCTGCAAAAACTTGCTTCAAATTTGTAATACTATTTCTTGTATGACAGATTTTCATCCAATTTCCTGCATATATTCGTATAATATACACAGTAGACAGCTCGTTTTGCATTACAGGGCATCTGCAAGTCGTTCACGCTCGATTGGAGCACACGTATTTCTTCTATATAGTAAATTGCCAAAACTATGCAGTTCCAGACCCATTTCCCGTCCAGCAGCGCTTTCCTCTGCTTCGATCAAGTCTGCATTTTAATTTCCTCTCCGATAAGTCTGCACACCGAAGCGCAGCTTTCGTGGCGGCGTCTTCTTTGCGCTGCTGATTGGATTTATTGGCAGACGAACGACCTTAAATGACATTACATCATGTCTAGACGGAGTTCCTCCGATTGGCGTCCAAGTCGGCTTGTGGCCAATATCAACAATCAGCTGGCAGCCCATCTGGTTGCCTAATCATCTGCTGCACCATGTGCAGCAGCTAACAAGCAGGTGAATAATAAGCGCAGCATGTCGCTAAACAGCTGAGTTACCTGAGCTCCAACTAAATCTAACTAACTAACTAGCAACAGTCGCTTGTTAAGTCCGGTCCAGATGCGTTTACTTCGAGCAGTCGAATCTTGCGCAACAGTCGATAATTCTGGTGTTATCTAAGGTTAAATGCAATGTTTACGTTGCGAAAAGAGCAAGAAAAGTATGAAGGTACATGTGTATATACCCTGTAATTAAAAGGACTAAAAAGGTAGCTCATAAGTCAATGCGGTTGTGATTTAATATGTGTATTTCGAGAATACACTGTTAAAAAATGTGGTATAGAAAGTGCAACAAAATAGAAAGCTAAAGAACTCAGATATTTCATACGCCCTGTAAAATATATTTTTAATGTATATTTCTGCAAGGCTATCAACTAGCCAAGTATGACAATTGAAATCCAAAAATATGTCTTTTAATACCCTGTAAAAAAGCTGAAAAGTGAAAAAAACTGGAGCTGCTAAATGTCGCGCTCTCTCCTTCTGTCCTTTCGCCTCACTCGCCTTTTTGGTAATATGTCGCCTTTCTATGCGATTCTCAAGAATTGAAATTTATCGTTAGTTCTCTCTCTGTAATATATATACATCTATATATAATAGAGATTTACTTAAGTTTCGTCTTAAAGCCAAGTACTTTTAAGCAGCCGCAGCTCGTTTCAATTTTTTATTTGTACATAATTACGAAATTGTAAGGTGCCTGCTGATCATTAATAATTTATAAGAAGTGCGCATTGTTGGCATTCGAAAGACTTCAATGAATTGCAAGCAGCAAGCAGGGCAAGCAGGACCTTTGGAAAATGGGGAAACATTTCCACATTGACGCAAACAAACAGCTCGTCCAAGGCGTACCAATTAAAGATGCAGATGGATCGGAGTTGTTTAAATTGCAAGTATGATGATTTTTATGCATCAGCTGCAACGATGATGACGAGAACGACGACCAGGAGGACGACAACAACGACGACGACGGCAATGGAGGACAACCAGGCGAAGGAGCTGCCAGCTGATGCGGCAAACTGTGTGTTGTTGTGCGGGTCTAATAGGTGAAATGTTCATGTGGCATTGGGAATTCGTACCTGAACGCTGCCTGGCTGCTTGGCTGCTTGGCTGAATCGCTGGCTGACTGGCTGGTTATGCACTGGAATTTAATTTCGCTGCCGGCATTGTTACTGCCATTGTGCAGTAGGAGTTGGCGCCAGAGACTCTGTGGGACACTGTGCAGGAGGCCGAGGGCGAACGCAGACGCAGACGCAGACGATGACGTCCTTGTGCTGAATTCAAATGAAGAAACCGCGCAACCAGCCAAGCTACAAGCGAAGCATATGCACATTCTCTTCCTCTTACCTTGCCCCATTGCTGGAGTGAACAAAGGAAAACTGCACAACACGAAGGCGCGGAGGGGCAGGCAGGCAGGCAGGCTACAAAAAAATGGAGAAGAGAAAGAAGAAGAGAGTGCAAAGAAAATGCAGCGGAAATGACAAAGCATGAAATACGGCT